TCAGCCAAATCTGGTCATGCCCTTTTCTTTTTTTTTTATATGATTGTTTCAAAGCCATCTGCCAGGTCTGACACATTAGTCCAGTGGTTAGTTGTGGCAGGTTGGGAGTTTGTAAAATCCTCAGTGGCAGCGCAGTCAGTCGGTGCAGTAATTCACTAACAAAAGTGTCATAATGCACTCAGCAGAGGGAGCTACAGGCTCCAACTGGCATCGGGGTCTAAACAGTTCATCACTTTGGACTCTTGATCCATGAACAGTTCCATTATGGCAGCATGACTGTGTCCCAAAAAATATCTGGATGCTGCTGTTGTTCAAATACCAGAGGACGATGAGGTGTGAAGAACTGTGGCTTTAACAACCACATGTTTTAAAATACTACAGCGTTAACCAGTCAATGCAGTTCAATTTATGCAGACAGCAGTGAAAGTATGCGTTGGGTGTTGTGTAATACACCTGACTGCATTTGATGGATTCTCTACTGCAGTACACGGCGAGTACACAGCGTTGTGAAAACCTATTGATCTTGAGTGAGGTAAAGCGTGTCCCCTCCCCTGCAGCAAAAACGTCCGCTTTCACTCAGCATTTTATACTGTTTATGAGATAGAACAGCCAGGACAGTGTACTGACAGACAGACAATCTGGAAACACGGTGGAATGAAATAGAGAGGACGGGTCAAAACCATAGTACTATTCCGTGTTCTTTCTGTCTTCCTTGGCTTTCACACAACAACGCTCGTCCAATAAAACCCCACCGCCGTCCGCCGTCTGCAAACTCCAGCCAGTCGATGCGAGGAGAGATTTGTTCTGTTAGCATTGTAGTTAATATTAAATGCAGTGGAGTTTGCAGGAAATTAAAAATAAAAGCCTCTGCAAACACTCCTCTCTGTGTGGCACCTCGGCCAAACCTTGGACTCTGTGTTTATACAGAGCATAAAACAATAAAGTTATTGTGTTTGGTGCCAAGGCGTAAATGTTGTAGGTAAAAACTGGTTTTGTGGATTTGTGCTTACTATAGTATATTTTGTATGCATTATATATATATATAAATAAAAATATATGTGTGTAAAAAATATGCATTGTATATATGTATTTGTATATATGTGTATATTTATGTATGTGTATATCTATCTATCTATCTATCTATCATATATATAAATATACTGTATATGTAGTTAACTTTTTTCCTTTTTAAGTATTTTTTTGCAAAATGAGATGTTTTCACTTATTCTCAGCAATTCAATGCTAACCTATTTTTTGCTAGCATTTCTTTAGCATCTCTGGTAACACTTGAATATGTCTGACCAAATGTTTTGTTATTATATTTTATACAAAGTTGAACTATGTTTATTAATGCTAAGTATATGATAGCTATTTTTCACCTTAAATTGTTGACCTGCTTTTATTTTTTTGTAGGCAAATGTTTAACGAACTCAGATTAGTCCTGTTTATTTCATGCCTTGCTATCATTAGCCAAGGTCTTAATATTCTTTAGGTACTAATGTTTTTTTTTACTTTTGGTATAATATTTAATTTCTAATCGAGTACATTAACGAACTTGTAGCTTATTGGTCATTCGTGTTTGCGTTTTCGTCACTAAAATAAATTAGAATGTTTTTTTTTTTTTTACTTAAAACAAACAGAGCCGTAGGCTAACCCTGGCCCAGCAGGAAGTTGCGTATGTGTCATTTCTTCATTCAGTCACGGTATGTGAGTGGAACATTTCCCATTTACATTTGATTCGTCTAATTGATCGTAACCAAATTAAGCTACTGTGACATCGGAGGTCCTTGAATCAACAGCCTGTGAGAATCAGCAATGAAGTGAGGCGGGCCACCCACAACAACATCCCAGAGGCAACAGGTTTTCCTTGAAGCAGCCTCACAGTGCCCTCTAGTGGACAAAGTCAACAACTGACAGCCATCCTCCGTTTGGGAGTTTGCTGCATGTCGCTGTTTAAGACTAGTGATCTGTTATGTTATCAGTATTTATAGTTTGTTTACAGATACAGGCCGTAAAATGGCGCTAACCTTTGTTCGGAGGACGTGTAGTTAGTTGCACGTTGCTAGCAGCCGGAGCCTCCTGTCTCCCCACGGTGAGGAGCAGCGGAGGAGCAGCAGTGCTTGTGGGGCTCAGCAGCACCGGAGGAAGCACAGCGTGGATACGAGGAGTTCAGCAAAGTCGCAGCGAAAGGTCTGGGACTGGTTATTTTTTTCTTCTTCTTAGTTTGTTGTCACTTTTGTTGAATGTTCTGTTAAAGTTGTGGACCTTAAGTCGCTTCGTGTTCGAGTATTACTTTCTCATTTCCCATAGCAATTATTTTACGCACTGCTATCGAACATTGTAGAAACTTTCATGGCTCGAGATCTTTTAAGTCGTAACGGTTCACTTGACGAGTTAATTTCGCTGGAAAGACATTGTCACGTTTTTAAAAAACGTCACAAAAATGTCGGTTAAGGGTTCGCGGTCCCTTTTTTTTATTCTTATCTGACTCAGATATGTTGTAAAGTTGACATGATGCCAACAGTTTATTTGGCCCATGTGGTCATTGTTCCCACCTGTGCTTGGTGTGATTTGTTGTACTTTCCGTTGCTCTTGTTTGTTCAGTTGTGTACATAATGACTCAGGCTGAAAACTGATTTTCCTGTAGATATGGTTTTATAGTGACCCAATGGTGACATGTTTCTAGATCTGGGTCGCGACCATGTCTTCTCTCAGTCACTAGACAAGTTATAATAATAAAAAAGTGTTCACAATAAACCAACTGAGTTATGTTTTAAACTGTCACTAAAGTTTTTTTCCTGTTATGTTTCTGGTTCTGTACTGTTCCACAGTTAAACTTTGTTGGGTGGAAGACTAAAAAAAAACCAAAAACAAACCCCGACACCTGCCTGCTGGTCACACCTGAGACCCCCGACCCTGTTGATCCAGTATGGGCAACTTTGCCAGCAAAGAAAGCCATGGACCGACTGGTATGTTTATCATCACACACCCAAGCAAACATCAGCTGTATACAGCATGACAAATCACCTGGGTCAAAAAGTTCTGAGAAAAAAGTAGCCTAGCTAATTTGAGTCTAAAAACTCGTCAAGGCGTAGAATTCTTTAGTTAAAGGCTGTTTTACATTGCGTTGCGTTGTATACGTTTTTCTAAACATTCCAGGTTTTAGAAAAGTAAAGAAATCAGCTGGAGTTGGATTAAAACATGTCGCAAACTTTCAATGCTACAAACATGTTTCCGGTAATGTTTGGGCAATAATCTGAGGTTTGCTCTGATTTAGTACTTTTCACTTTGAGGATTGAAAAGCTCGATCATAAAAAACATAAAACATAACATGGCCCAAAGCTCATAACTTCTAATTTATAGCCATAAAACTGTCAAAGCTCCGGAAAATGCCGGAGAGACGTTTATCCAGTCTGGTTATAATATTTGACGCTGTTGAAATAACAACTGTCTCAGGACTTTTTGACTGACCCTGTTATGTGTTTGTGTTGGCTCTCGGCTTTAAAACCAGAACAACTCAGGAGCTGAGAGTGGGTGAAAAACAGAGGAAGTGAATAAATGTTGTACATTTAAAAAAATAAAATAAAAAATTCCCTGAAGAGAGAGGAGACGAGGAGGAGGTATAAGAAAGAGTAAGGTAAAAAAAAAAAAAATAGAGAATCTGGCAGAAAAGATGGGGTTTTTGTGTCTTTGTGAGTCTGTGCCCTGAGCAGCAAGAGAAATCCTGGCAACTTTTCAGGCTGTTGCTCAGTGAGCGGTCATTCTGCTCGCGTCCCAGTGTGATTCGTTCTGGCCCTGCCGGGGCCAGCTGTGATGAATCGACAGAATTCCCCGGCTCAGCACAAGGGCAGCGGATTAATCATGGGATGCCTAATGTTTTTAGACGCACACACACACACACACACACACACAGTCAGTCAGTCAATCTGCCGCCCATGCTTGGACAAGCACATTAAGGTTCTGGAATGGAGAAACAAAAGTCTGGAGTGGAATGAGGAAAAAAAAAAAGAAAAAGTTGTGAGACAATCCTGTCGTTTTTCTCCTGTTATTAGACGTGGTGGCAGGTGGAGCATGACTTTACTGATGTCTGACTGCTGCTCTTACATCACTAAAGAGGGAGGAGGAAAAAAACCAAAACAACCTACATTAGTTTTATTAACATCAAGGCTTTTGTCCAAATAAGGTAAAGGACGAAAGACCTGACAGAGACACGGTTCTTTCTAGGCTCTTTCTGAAGTTATTTTTGGGCTGGAAAGGAATGTCGGAAACTGAAAAAATGAGGTGTTTTTGTGTGTGTCTGTGTGTGTCTGTGGCTCTACTTGTGATATTCAGACGCTCAGCCTGGGACATTTGTCCTGTGTGTGTGTCCTAAAGTTAGGAAGTGAGTGTTGCAGCAACAATGTGGATGAGCAGTTCAAGAGAAATGTCTTCATTAAACGTGTCCTCAGGGTCATGAGCTCACTGTCCAGTAGAATTATCCTGTTCTAAACTAGGGGAATTAAACGTGTCCTCAGGGTCATGAGCTAAAACTGGCCCACTAGGGTCTTCAATCCGGCCCACTTAATAAATTTTGTACTCAAACACTTAATGTTCAGGATATTTTTTGTAAAATTATATTTTATTAAATATGAAGGGGTTTGTTTTTACATGTTCTCAGTTTTTATCCAATACGCATTAGTACAGGTGGGCTGCATTAAACGACATGATGGGCTGGATTTGACCCATGAACCTTTATGGAGACTGAAATGAGAAATGAAAATGGTTCAGCAAACCTGAGAAATAAATGCTACTTCAACAGGTTTGGGGAAACAAAGCAAAAATAGCTGCCGTTTTTATTTTGAAATAATTATAATAATATATTTTTTATTGACAAATAAAATCAACTCTGCTTTGTCACCTATTACAAATAGCGACATTGGAGCTTTTAAGTACCTCCAAGCTAATGACTTGTTAGCTCCTGCTTGTGGCTGTGAACTTCTGTCCTTTGGCGACAGACCGCAATGCGTAAAATGATTGGCTGCTAAATCAGTGAATGAGTGGCTAGTGCAGGTCAGGGTCGATCATGACTTGCTGGTTGATTGGTGCATCGCTCTTAGCCTGATATTTGGCGTTGAAATGCCTGAAAAGTGAATGGTTTTGTCTTTTCTCTTAGGCCATGGAGATAGTTTCCACACTCCACCTGCGTCTCCACAAAGTGCTGTTCCTCCTCCATTGCCTGCTGTTCCACAGCACCTTCAGCCCCCCCCACGTCCACCTTACCGTGCTGCCCCGGTATCAGCTCCACCTCCAGTCCCAGTTTTCACACTGCCTCTGAAGAAATCACAGCCCACCAGCCCTTCTCCTGTCCCCAGGCCTCATTCACCGGTCGCCTCGAACAGCCCGACTACGGAGCTCGGCGTTAGACCGGGGACCACTGGGCTCAAAGGAGCAGCTCCTCTGGGGAAAAATGGAGCCCCTCCCACGTCGACTCCTAGATCTCCTTGCTCCCAAGGGAAAACTCCGGCTTTCAGCCCCACAAAGAGCCCCTCTGCTCCGTGTAGCCCCTCCCCGTTGGGGGGGGTCAGCCCCTCACCTTTGGGGGTCAGCCCCTCACCTTTGGGGGTCAGCCCCTCACCTTTGGGGGTCAGCCCCTCACCTTTGGGGGTCAGTTCCTCACCTTTGGGGGTCAGCCCCTCACCTTTGGGGGTCAGCTCCTCGGGGCAGAGCTGGAGAGAGAGAGACAGTGGGCTGAGCCCGTCTTTACATGAATCTGTCAAAGGTCACACTGAGGAACTGGAGATGCTGCTAGACGAGTGTCGGGCGTTTCTGGGTGTCACGGCCAATCACAATGGAGTCACTGACACAACAGGCAAGACTGGTTTATTTCTCCACTAACATAACATAAAAAAAAAAAACTTCCATAGAGGTGAAAAGGTTAAAAAAGTTAAATGATTAGGGCTATGTATTGGCAAGAATCTGACGATACGATATGTTTTGCGATACAGGGGCAACTGAACAATATATTGCGATATACTGTGATACCTTAGGCAATGCAATATATTGAGTTTTTTTTACCCCAGTATAGCTGTAGTCCAGTGTGATCCTAGTCTCAGACTCTGTTCCATCTGAACATCAGTTCCTAACTCTAGAACAGAGGGATCTACATTTGGAATCACTAGAGAAGAAAGAAAAGAAAAAGAAAATGAACCAACACCAGGAATATTGGACTGGGAATTGGTGAGAAAAAATCAATAACTGATGGAGGAGGAGATTGATACGGTATCGTGAAACGAAAAAGATCAAGATATTCCAGTGTATCGATATTTTCCTACAACTCTATAAACAATCCAATCAAACAAAATCTCCTCTCGTCAGTCAGACTGACTTTATTTTCAGATGTGAAAATGTTAACTAGACCATAAAATCTCCTCTCGTCAGTCAGACTGACTGTAAGTCACCAGAATAGATGTGAAAATGTTAACTAGACCATGATCTAATTTTAATTTTTCTGCAGCCTGTAGCTTTAGCTTCGCGTAATTTTAATTTTTCTGCAGCCTGTAGCCTTAGCTTCAGCTTAAGGTAAACAAGACAGACAGGATTTCTCAGGGTGTTCACAGTCAGAGCTTCATGCCCTGTTTACCAACACTAACTGAAGAATTACTGCATACTGTACCTTCAGTAACTGTCAACTGTAATGCCAACATTAGAGTTGACATGGTGCTCCGTCTCATGGCCTGTTATCGTATCATTCCCACAGAGGTTCTGAGGAGTCTCCTGGCAGAAGCCAAAGATTTGAAGAATTCTCTACAGGTGAGTTGTTTTGTTTTTAAAATTTTTTTTTTTTTTTTTGCTCCAGTTTGAACTTTTCCACTTCTTTCATGCGTTAAGGAAAAGCTTTCAACCACTCCCATGAACAGAATGTATTCCTTCTGGGTCGGTGGCCAGGGCTAGACTCGGCCTGCATCACTGCGTCTGAAATATTTATTGAGCTTGTTTTGTTTGACAAATCAAAGGCTGGCAAAACAACACAAAGAGACTAAAAACTTTAATGATCGCTGAGAAGGGATTCTTAAAAAAAAAAGGGTGGTTTGATGCAGTAACACAAACTGACAGACAGGGGTTGAAACTCCAGCATTGAGAACATAAGGCAGCTGTAAGGTAAGGTCTCCAGACCTAATTAAATCTGCGTCTGCTCTTCTCCACTCCGGTGTCCCCTGGTGGTCTGGTAAACAAACAGTGCGTGAGAGTCTGGTCCAGTAGATGTAACATAAGATCATGAAGAGAGTCGTGTTGTAGACTACAATAACAAAGATGGAGACCTCGTGTCAGTAACTGTCCGACGGTACATGAGAACTCCCGGATGTTTGTTATGGTCGTAAGCTTCATAAACAACACACAAAAAAAGAGTTGAGATGAGTTGTTTAGCAGCTGTGAATCACTGTATGTTGTGATTCACGACCTGCTGTTCTGCTGTGGTTTCACGCGTGTATTTGTTCCAAACCCTTCAGTACAGGATGTTTCCAGTCTTATTGTCAAGGTTGGTTTTTGCACCCCCTACGGTCACATGTCTCGTCATTGCTGTTCTGCACAGGTCACCAACATGGTGGCGCCTGGTAACCCCCATGGACTATCTAATGCATTGTTTCCCAAAGACTGGGTCGGGACCCACAGGTCGGTCGCAAGAGATTTTTTTTTTTTTTGGGTCATCTCGCATCATGTTTCCCAGAAGTTTACGAATAATGCCTATTGACTTGGGTCGTGAAGGTTTGTGAACTTTTAAAGTTTGGTTTCCCAGAAGTTTACGAATAATGCCTGTTGATTTGGGTCGTGAAGGTTGGTGAACGTTTAAAGTTTAGGAAACACTGACCTAATGTGCCCGTAGGGGGGGGTATGTTTTAAAATAAAACTAGTCAACAGGAGAGAGTACAAAAAGTTCCTTTGCAGAGACCAGCAGATGTAGTGAACCATGATCCAGTCTGGGTCTGAAGACCAGACCAGACGATCCATTTATGTCTAATCTTGAAACACCAACATGTAGCACTTAACTTCCTTGTTAAACAGTCTCAGAGAAAGAGATGTGTCCCAACCTGATGGGGTTCAAACATTGTTTTAAACATGTTTTAGAAATAATTCTGACAGTGTCTAACATACAGTTTTTTGCCTTAGTGTAGCGGTTAGCAGGCCAGAAATTTTTTTTTTTAAATACATCAGATTAAGAAACTCATTTTCAAATCAAACTTTTTTCAAAACATTTTTAAATAAATTGCAGAAATCAGAGACAACAAACACAGACATCTCAGTCCAGAACTATATCAGTCAGGTTTTGGGTGAAGTTGATGAGGTGATGCTTCTTGTCCTTGGACTTTATTATAAGGCAATTAAACGCTTTTCAAGCTCCAGAGGGCCACACAAAATCACTTTGTGGGCTGCTTTTGGCCCACGGGCCTTGAGTTTGATCTATGATCTGCATCTATCCGTCTTTATCTAACGCCATAACAATAACTAAATGTTATCGTGGAGTAAAGATACTGTCGGTCAGACAGATGAATCCTGGACTGTAAAGACGACGAGAAACTTTTACTTCAGGGCCAAAAGCTAAGGCGTTTCACGCTCTTGTGAGGATGCTGATATTCTGTGGTCATTTCCTGCCCTTCACTGGTTCCAATTCCTGACCCTCCCGTATGAGGAGAGCCAGAGGCTTCCTGGCTTCCTCCAGATCTGCTCCGTATTCCACAGCTGCAGTATCATCTACAGTGAACCCCATCGGCTCCATCTGCTTCACCGCCTCTGCTTACGCCTGCCTTTCATTTATATTCTCAATGAACGAAGTCAAAATGTATTTCCACTCGAAGTCACGTTGATTCCCACCACTTAGTGTGTTGCGGCGTATATTTAATCCCTCTCCTCTCGTTTCCCTTTCGTTCCTCTTCCGCTCACATTCCCACCTCTCCATAAGGACCTGGAAACATGAGCCTAACCCTAAACCACAGAACAGTGTCAGAAACCTGGGCCAATCCAGCGCCGTGTTTACACGGACTCTCCGTAGAGCAGTATCGTCCAGCTCCCGTCCTCTGGGCCTTTTTTTTTTTTTTTTTTTTTGTGGAGAGGAGTGGAGGAGTGTGGAGGAGGGGGTTCACATTCTGCTGTTTGGGAGACAAAACTTGTTTTGTTTTGTCCTCTGTGAGTCGGGGTTGGGAGAGGGCTGCAGCTCCGAGTGACTGGCCGGCAGTGTGTGTGTGTGTGTGTGTATTCTTTGAGACAGGGGACTCACAAACAAGATGCATTCCAAGTTTTGGCAAGTGGTGTAATTGGTTTCTAGCTCTGAGGGTACACCTCTCTCACCCTCACACTGCCCCCCCCTCCCCTCAACCCCCCCACCCCGTCTCTCCAGCTTCCCTTGCCGTGCCTCTTTGCCTTTTCTTCAGTCCCTCATTCTTTCTCCATTAGCTGTTTGACCACTCCTCCCTGGGCAGAATAACTCAAAACAATGACTCCGGTCCATCTCTTTCTTCCCCCCCCCCCCCCCCCCCCCCCCCCCCCCCACCTCTCCCCTTCCCTTTCGACCATCTCTGCTCTTTCACCCCAATCCGTCTTTTTGTCTGACCCATCCTGTCTCCTGACGGTTCCGTAGTGTAGCGGTTAGCGCGCCTGCCTCTGTAGCAGAGAGCAGAGATTCCTGGGTTTAAACACAACAGTTTCTGGGGCAGTGGTGGCTTAGTGGGTAAGGAAGCAGACCTGGGTCTGGGAGGCTTCAGGTTTGAGTCCACCAGCTGCCAAGTTACCACTAAGGCGCTCTGAGCAAGGCACGGTCCCCACTCACTGCTCCCCGAGCAGCTTAAAGCTGCCCCCTGTTCACTTTCCTTTCCTTTCTTAAGTACTTTTTTTTTTTTTTTTAGCTCTGACCTCCTGGTTTCTCCATATGGTTTCAGCGTCTTCACTCACGTCCCCACTTTTATATGTCAATCGTCCATAACACCAGAGTGTGTGTATTCCATCTGTCTGTGTTTTGGTTCCACCACCGGCCTTGAATGGACTTAAACCAACAAATACAAAATCACTCCAGTGGGTGGCGCCCAGCTGATGATCACTCCATCTCATCAGCCGGCTTTGGAATCTGTTCCAGGTGAAAGCTGCGGAAAATTTCCAGGAATGATTTCCATGTTCCCAGGCTGTAACGGAGACCGCGGAGGCTGGTCACATGTAGCATGACAACCTAGTTTCAGTATCTGAGCTGAGGCTGAACGTAGCCGTGGAGTTTAATCTGTTCTGCTAAGTGAACGCTGGAGAATCGGAGACGGGTTTTTTTTTTTTCCTCTTGTTACAGTAGCGACTCACTTGAAAGTGAGTCTTTTACTTCCACTGACATCTATTGGGTGTGGGGGGGGGGGGGGGGGGGGGGGTTCACTTTTTAATACTGTATATTAGAAAAGTATATGTAGTGAAATATAATATAATTATGGTTAAAATTTACTCTTAATTTACTGAAAACCTCAGCCTGTTTAGTTGAAAACCGTGCTGATATACTCACAGAAATTGAAGAAAAACACTCACAGAGAGATATACTCACAGGAATTGAAGAAAAACACAAAGATTTTTTTTTTACATTTTTTTCATCGTCATCTGCTGCCACCTAGCGGAGGACTATTTAATTGTTCTGCCTGTCACTTACGTATTGACGAACATAGAAAAAATGATTTGCAGTAAGTAAAATAATAGTTTTCAGACCATTTAAGTGATATTAATTACATTTTTTGTAGCTCACTCGATGACCTCTCGCGGCCGACTAGTGTGCCACGGCACAGAGGTTGAGACTCAGTCCTGTAGAGAGGAGGGTCTTCAAAGGATTTGGACGTTTGTTTGTTTTTTTTTTTTTTTGTTTTTTTTTTGTTTTTTTTTCCTCAGTTTGTGATTGAAAGACTGGGTGTGGAGATGAACCAGGACAGATAGACTAAGTAAATCCCTCAAGAAATGACCCACAGCCTCACAGCAAGACCAGATGTTCTGTGGTCAAGAACACACACACAAACACACACACACACACGTGCTTGTATACACAAATGTGAAAGTCAAATTTGCATAAGCAAAAATATATATTTACATTTTTTCAAAAGTGTCTGACATCATCACACTTCATGCTTGTGTCTGTGCTGGTGCATACGTGTGTGTGTGTGTGTGTGTGTGTGTGTGTCTTGAGGCTGACGGCCCACACCCTTATCTCAGTGTGGACCCTGGAGCGCCCTTCCTGTTTCCTTATACAGACACGCTCCAGTTGGAGTGTTCATTTAGATAACAGAGATGTGACTCTCTGTGTCCTCGTGTATAATTAGTAAGTACTGCAGTACAGATACTGCGGTCGTACAGTACAGTACAGTACTGTCCACGTGACACGTGTGAACAGGGAGAGGAAGAGCGTTCTCCCGGCCCGGCTGCTCTGAGCCGACGTTGGGAAAGTGAACGCAGCTCGGTGATGAAGTGAAAGAAAAGGGAGGAGGAAGTGTGGGAGGAAGATGAGGAATATGATATGTGTGTGTGTGTGTGTGTGTGTGTGTGTGTGTGTGTGTCCAGCATAATGGGGTCCAGCTGTGGTCAGATGAGGAAACCACTTGGCTCAGACGTGTCCTCCTCCACATCTCGCTCCATTCTTCATCTAATCACCTCCTTCCTTAACAACAGTCCTTCACAGAACTCTTCCTCACACTCCTCACTCCTCATCACATTTCCTTTGCTTTTGTTTTTTTGGTGTGTGTGTGTGTGTGTTTGACCCGTTCAACAGTTCATCTTTGTCCTCTGATGTCTGGGACATAAGATCCCCCGTCTGCCCCCCCTCCAGAGATTGAAAGGCGATAATATTCTATACAAAAGTGCTTCATTTCAACATCTCTGGTCTGAGGGGCTGAAAAGTGTCGAAGAAGGAGAAGGATTCCAGAGACCAATGATCAATAAAAAATTACAATACCAACATAAAATAAAACGATATCATAATAGTTTTATGATATGGTAATAGTTTTATATAAAATGGCCTCAATAATATCCCTGTTAGAGGCCCAAAAATCCCTAGCTGCACCTCTGTTTTTGATCATGATCTTTTTGACTTCATTGACACTAATATATATTAAATATATATAAATATACTGTATATATGTATATATATGTATGTATATGTATATATACACATATATGTATATGCATATATATGTATATAGATTTATTTATTTATTTAAATATATGTATATAGATTTATATATATATAAAATTAAAATTATATTTATATATTTATTTATTTATTTCTCATTCTTAAATGAACAACTGAAGCATTTTTTTTAACAAACTGCAAAAAAAAAAAAGAAAAAAAAAGGGCCAGACCTTGTCCATGGCCCGGGAGTTTGTACGTCTTTAATTTTGTAATGAAAGTTCCTTCACCCTGACAGAGCCTCAAGTCTCTGATGGATGTAAAGCAGCCTCAGTTATCTCGCGCCCGTGTCTCGACTCGTCGACAGAGTTCCGTCGGATACCGTCGGATGACATCAGTGAAAACCTCTGGCTCCCACGGCTGTTTTGCTTCATCAGTGACTGACTTACCGTCACCCTTGCTGAGACTTGTTCAGTACAGCTCGTACTAGTGTGGTAACGGGAAGTCAAATTGATACTTAATTCCTCCTTGACCAAAGCGATTGTCTTTCGGCCATTTTTTGGTTTGGCAGCGGAACTGCTGATTTCTTTCCCCAAGGCTGCTTTTACCTTCGCGACNNNACGGCGGGTGAATAATAATGTTTGTTGAAGAGTTGAAGAGTGTTTTTTTACTGTTTGTACTCTGGCGTTGAAAACATGAGCTGAAGTTATTTTCCCAGCATAAAAAAGAAAGGGAAATGGAAAAAAAAAAGTCGTAAAAAAACATTGTTTCAAATACACAAATATTTTAAACCCCAACCTTTTTTGTACCAAGGACCAGTAATACCACACCATCATTGAAGGATCATTAACTTCTAACTTCTGAGTCTGAATGACCTTTGACCTGTTGTTTTGAAACATTGATAGATTATCTTTGAGTGAAAACATTAAAGGGACATGACTGGATTCCTTATGAATGAAGTAAATTAGTAAAACTGAAGTAATGTTTTTTACTGTGTCCCACTGCCACCTGGTAGTAAATGACCTACGGACTGCCACTGGTCCCCAGACCATGGGTTGAGGACGCCTGTTTTAAACAGTCACCGTCATTTCATTAGAGGACCACAATAATGTTTTTATGTTCAGTTAGTATTTTTGTTTTTACTAAAATAATAACATATAGAAATATTTACTTAACGTTTTTTTTACACAAAGTTTCAAATCAATTTGTTTCATTAATTAATTAGGGTTATTTGGTCTTTTTATTATCTCTTGTCCCTAATAAATAAAAGTGCATTTCTGTATGTATCACATCAGAGAGTTAGCTGGAGGCTAAAGTACTAGCAAGAACTAAAAGTATTTTTTGTTTTTAAAGAACAAGCTTAAAGAAAAAAAACTGCATTTAATGTTTTGTTGTATGTCTCCTTCTATTGTTTATCCTTCCAGTCAGAGCGAGAAGAGTGGCTGCAGTTTCAGTCTGACCTTCAGGTGGCAGTATCGGTGGCAGACCGGTTGCGAGGTGAGGCAGACGAAGAGCTGACGGCGCTTCGAAAGGCGCATGAGGATGTGGAGCGGGAGCTGGCCGCTGCCCAGCAGAGGCAGAAGGCGGCTGACACCCAACTGGTCACCCTGAGGGGGGAGTTGAAGGAGAGCAGGCAGAGACTGGCATCGCTCAACCAGGCTCAGGGAAACACCGTCAACCAGCCGCGTCATGAACGGGAGACGTCCAACAGCACCGGGGCCAAGGACGCCCCCCAGAGGGGCACGGACGGAGGCGTTCCCAGGGGGGCACGGACGGAGGCGTTCACAAGTCTGAACAAGAGGCTGTTGAAAAAAGCAACGAGAGCGATGTGACGAAGAAGAACGGAACATCCTGCAGGGGTGTGGCCATACGTTACCTGAGGAATGTGACCAATGAGGACAGAAACGAGGAGGAGGCGCGGCCCAACGAGGCACGACGGGTGGTGACGACAGAAAGATCCAGGTGCGACCGACCGGCCAATCATGTGTCTTTGTTTGGATGTAAATATTCATTAGAGATGCTGGAAAAAAGCTTAAAATATTTAGATTTTTGTGCAACTCGTGATACTATATTTTTTTTTTTTTTTACTAATTTCTCCGATATTTTTTATTTGACAGCACATAATAGAAAAATAACGAACCGTTGGTCGCCAGTCAGTGTCAGTGATGCCAAAATAACAAACTGATTCTGATCACTGGTCAGGTCGGTCTCTAAAATATATGCTGGGGATGGCTCGATCCAAAGCTCAGGATCAGTATCGGTCCAATATTGGTCAAAAAAAAACTACAGCCGACGCCTGAGCCTAAATACTCAACTTGCCTCAGCAACACAACTGATATCGGTATCGGCAGATATTCCAAGTTGCAGTATTGCTATTGGAATGGGACATGAAAAAGTTGTATCATCCCCTATATATATATACATATATATATATAAATTTAGTATATATATTTGAAATATAAAGTAATCATTTTTACTAATCGTTTCAGGTTTTCTCGGCTCCTCCATTGTCTTCAGACATTTGAAAACAAAGCCGATTTCCTTTCTCAAACATTTTTGTGTCTGAGACTGAAGCCATAAATGGAGAACAGTTACCAAGTTTGGTCTGCACTGTGATTATGGCTTCGGTTGTAAGTCATGCAGTAAAATTTACAGCCGGTGCCGAGTTAACCAGCGAGATCAGGAGTGGTTGTTTTATTTGTCCCCTGTCTGTTCCCTTCATCTCTGTGATGTGGCACTGCAGGAGCCTGTCCAGACTACCTGCCGCTGCAGACCTCCTCACCGTGCCAAATGGAACGCACCAGGCCAACAACGCCACCACGGCCGCACAGTCGGTGAGGTTCGGAGGAAAAGTCGCCCTAGGTTTTTTTTGGGGGACGTTGTTCTAACTTTGTGTGTTCATTTCAATTTTTTAAGAACGTGGAGCAACAACGAGGGCGAAGAACTCTGGACTGGCAAGACCGTAGGTCCAGCTCTGGTATAAGTTTGTGTGTGTGTGTGTGTGTGTGTGTGTGTGGTCTAGGCCTAGCTGTCCTGGAGTTTAAGGTTTACTTTGGAGCAGAGGTGGAAAGTAACAAATGACATTTACTCACGTCACTGTAATTGTAATTTTTTGAGTTATGTAGTATATCTATCTTTAAGTAGTATCGGGAATAGTAAAAGTAATTTTACTTTTACTTAAGTACATTTTGACTCCAGTATTTTACTTCGCTACATTGGAAAAGAATCATTGACTGAGTAAAAAATTGGATCATCGAATTCTCAACTTCTGCCACGTGTATTTAAATTGTTGATAAAAAACAACCAGCTGCAGATTGGTTGACAAACTTGTACTTTTTTGCATCAAGTAATTTAAAGTAACTAAGTAACTTTTCTGAAAAGTAAACTTTTCCTAAAATTAGACGGAGGGCCGGGTCAGGAGCAGATAGATGGAGCAGTCGTGTGAACATGTAAAAGTCATGCATAAAGGCTACAATGCTATGCTAATGCTTTTAGCCTTTTCTGCAGAAAAAGATAATGATAATATGAATTGAAAATATAATTAAGACAAGTTTGGCGGGCCGGGTCATGATCAGGATTAGGCATACATTTGTACTGGTTAAACTGAAGGACTGTGTAGTTTGCCCATGCCTGGGTTAGGGTCATGATAAGGATTAGGCATACATTTGTACTGGTTTTGTGTCTATGTGGAGTCATAAAAACCTGAATATGTGTGTGAAAAACATTGCAGTATTATTATTCTAGAAACTTTTTTTCTACACGTCCACTAAACTTCTAGGGTCCCACAGTTTGATCTTCAGTGGTGCAGTATGTTGATGTCTTCACAGACCGGTTCACTCTGACAAAGGCAGGAATTACAATGTGCTGCAACACAGAGCGGGGAGTGAGCACAAAAAAAAAACCCCAAAAACAAAACATTTAAACACCCGTCCCAAAAAAAACTCCGACTCTGGGGCAGAAACCGACGTGTGATGTTGATGTTGCGTTCACTGCCTGAAGTTGAATTAGTGCAGCTCCAAACTCGTAAACGTGTCACCGACCCAACCATCAAAACATCACTCTTGTCTTTGCAGGAAAACGTGAGGAGTGTCTAAACAAGTACAACTCTGCCCTGACTGAGCTGCCGCCCACCAAGTGAGTGTGTGCATGTACACACACACACACACACACAAACGTGTTTCCAACCTCTGTATAAAAACTACCAAATTGTTTGAGTAAAAGTGGCAGAAAATGTCAAAAAAACCCAAACAAATACTTACAAAAACCACTGTTTTTTTTCGCTGCAGTGTTGAGACATCAATCCTAGAACTTTCATTTCCTTGTTTCCGCTCTAGATCCCAGGATGGTTTCAACCTTCTGCTGCGTCGCCATGGAGGCTCCAAGCGGAACTCTATGCTCCGCTGGTGTCAGAGCCGAACCCAGGGCTACAAGGTGATCCACGACAGGGTTTGGAACTGATTCTACCTCCCACACCCCCCTGCCTGCCCCTAAACAAACCCCAAGAAATCTGACTAGTCATTTCAATTTACTCTGTTTTTCAGAGTAAATTTAATCATATGTTGTTACTTTAACATATTTTCTATTTTTAAGCTGTTTTATGGCTAAATGTAATTTTTATTGTACAGTAAATCTTTTTAATCCAATTTCTGACTATTTTGCTAAATGTTTGTATTTTTGACTAATTATAACTTTGAACTTAGGGCTGTCAGATGAAGACATTTTTTCAAGTTTGGTTTATGAGCAGATTAGCTGTGGATTTATCATGATTAGTTGTGATTAATCACAATTAATCATCATTCCTAAATTGAGATTAATTTCAAGGAAGACGTAAGTGTTTCACATGTGAGATGGTATTTTAAACCTGAGAAATGTATTGGATGAACAGTGCACGTCATTCAACCCCTACGATAATTTGAATCTCTTGGTTAACGTGTTACATTTTACTAAGCACAGATATCATTTATTTATTTATTAATAAAATGTTTATTTATATTTTAACTGTGTCATCTTGCAAAAACAATTCCCGGCCATTTTGTAGCTAAATGTTTTTAAAATGGAGTCTGTCAAAAGAATGAATTTTTTTAGTTTTGCTCAATCACAGGGGAGCTGGAGATTAGTCACGATTAATCACATTTGATCACGATTAACTGTGATTAGTCAAGTTGAAAAATATATAAATCTTTAATTTTCCATCTCCTTGGTTTTATCAGAACTCTTCATCCGTTCACTGAATCCATTCAAATCTCTTCCTTTTCTGCATCATATGTTTTCTTTTTTTTCTTTTTCCAGAACATTGACATCACCAACTTCAGCAGCAGCTGGGCCGACGGCCTGGCCTTCTGCGCCGTCTTCCACACCTACCTCCCGTCTCACATCCCTTACAGCAGCCTCACTCCTGACAACAAGGTAAACGCTTTGTCCGGGGCTGTAGAGCCGCGGAGACTAGAATTCATTTGTGCCTTCAACTCATTGTCTTTTGTTACAGAGGGACAACCTCAGCTTAGCATTTAAAACCGGAGAGACGGTGGGGATCACACCAACCCTGGTGAGCCTTAGATTGATTCACATACCGTATTTTCCAGACTAAAGGTCGCACTTTTTTTTCATCCTTAGGCCGGGGTTGCGATTTATACTCAGGTGCGAGTTATATATAAAAATATATAATTTCACACGTTTGTTATTTTCTCACTGACAACCACTAGAGGGCACTCTAGGACTGGAAACCTACCACTGGAAATTGACATGCTCGTTAATTTCACATTGTCAGCCGCTAGAGGGCACTGGTGCGACTTATACTTGGGAGCGACTTAGTCCGGAAAATACGGAAAATGTTTTTTTTGGATTAATGTCAAGGTACGTTTCTCTTCATTAACTTGGTGAAATCCTATGTTGATCAGACGGTGGAGGAGATGCTAAAGGCCGGGGGTCCTGACTGGCAGCGCGTCCTGGGCTACGTCGAGAGCATGTACCGACACTTTGAGATGTGACTGCTGGAGGTACGGACAGGACAGATGGAGCGTCTTGAATGTTTGTCACAATAAATGTTGAACCTCACCACTGCTGACTGGTGGTCGAACTGGGGAGACTGGCTGTACGCATAAAAAAAAAAAAAAAAAAAAAAAAACATGGAACTGCAGATTTGACACGGTTGTTGTTCCACTCATTGTGACTTTATGGACGCTCACACTGACCAGAATGATTTTCACAGATTTTCTTGGAACACTGGAGAAAACATTCAGATCGATCAATAATTCACACTAACAAACCCTAATTTTTTTTTTTTTACTTTTTGAAATTTCTGAGTTTAAGTTCCCTCCGACTTGTTTGCTGTCCTGCAGCTGCGAAGGCTTCTGATTGGTTTATTACAGTCTCCATGGACGGTCGACAGTCAGTAGAATTTCCTGAGAGTCTGATTCTGCCAGGAAATTCAGAATCGAACTCCCTTTTTTTGGCCCTAATGTAATTATGCGCTTTGTTCACACAGCGGAGATCTAACAGAACCACAGTTATGCTGATGGTATCTCGGAAGACATTCATCGTTAATAGTTTTCACTGAGAGCACGCCACTGTAGTGGGGTGAAGGAACAGAACAGAGGTCAAAGAAATTGTTCACTTGTGGTGTTATCATGTCACTTTTTTTTCTCAACATTTTTTTCTCTCAGCGATGGGGAAACAAGTTGCCTTTTATTTAAAGCTGTGTTTTTGCCAAAGTTGAACGTGCCAAATTTTGCAGGAAAAAAAAGAATACTGTTTGTTTATATGAAAATAGTGTATAAAAAAAAAGAAATAAAATATTTGTATCATTTATCTTTCGTAGTTATTATAACTTCAACAGTAGTAAAACTGTCCCAAACAATTAGATTGGTAAGTTGTGATGAGATAGTATTGAGTTTGCTACCCTCTTGTGGTAAGACTATGTTATTACAGGCGTCCTCTAATAAAAAAACTCCAACAACTTTGTTTAACGTACATATCACATTCACGATCAATCATTTCTTCACTGATCCGGAACATAAATTATTTCTCAAGTAGTTCCAAAATTCTACAAACTCTATCAAAGGCAATTGGCGCAGCCCAGTGTGTGTTTTTATATACTGTTTTAATTGAAATCGAGAGGAGGTGACGTCACAGGAAACTTTTACAATTTACGCAGAGTAAAATGTATGAATTGTTGAATTGTTTTTTTTTCTTCTAAATGTTGCTGTACGATCTCTGTTAGTTTAACGTTTTTTCCATTCATTTTCTTTACTTACTGTGAATTTGCTCTCCCTCAAAGTTGAACTTCCGCTTCACAGGAAGTTCCGCAAAATCAACAGTTACCAAAATAAAAGTACAACACGAACACAAACTTCGGTCGCAGGCAGATTACATTTAAAGAATTAACATACACTCCGCAATTTATTTATTTATTTATTATATTGCTAAAAGTCAAGTTATAACATACACTCCGCAATTTATTTATTTATATATTTATTATGTTGCTAAAAGTCAAGTTATTATTAAGGCTGGAGTTTGTTGTTAAATGTCTTTGCTTTGTACGATTGTAGCTGGAAATGTTAAGTGCTACATGTCGTTAGCAATCACAGCCAATCAGTTTATTCTCCTGTTCTGAACATATGATTTGTTACTGTTAAGATGTATTTGAGTGGATTTGTTGTTAAGAAAAGAGGTTAATCTCAGAAAGAGAACCGTTTAGGCAAACTATCCCGATACCGAAAGTCGTCTCCATTTCCACTCCAACCCTGAACACTCCCTGTTGACTTGTTGTGTTGTTACACACTGTACCACCTGTCCTCCTGGCATTTCAATTCTATTTTCTTTCTTTTATGTCGGACTGAGTTAAACCATAATATTTCTTTTTGCCCCCGACAGGAGAAGGAGTTGTCATTTGCTGAAAAGACAGATGAGATAACGTCCCCCAGGCACCCTTCCCCTCTACCACCGTTTCACTTCTTTATTGTCTCTAACAAAGGGTTATACATGTGATAGTGTGAGTAGCAGAGTGTGTGTGTGTGTGAAAAAAAGGAGGTGGAGTTCAGGTCAGATAAACCTGTGGAAGTTCTCTTTCCTGTCAGTTTGTTCTGTGAAGTTAGACGAGTTGTCGTGGGAACCGAACCATGGACTGGACCAGGACCCTGATCGTGTGTTTGGGATGTGGGCTTTGTTTTGTTCTTGTTTCGAGTCAGAGTCCATCTGCGTGAGTAAAATTCATCAAGTTTTTTTTTTTTGTTTGTGTGTGTTCTGTTAAACACTTCAACCAGTTGTCAAAAAATTTTTTTTTTGTGTGTTCTGTTAAACACTTCAACTAGTTGTCAAAAAGTATTTATTACTCCCTCTGGTATATAGAATGTATGCGATCTCTGGTCCAGAAGTGTTGCATGCTGGGACATCCACCTCGCTGGCTGTCACCATCTTAACAAACACCGGTGGTACGGTGACGGCCGAACTGGCACATGGTGACATCAGAGTGACGCAGACAGCGGGGTATGATGGAGGTAGGAGAGTCGATCACACACTGATCTACGACCACGCAGTTTGACTTCACCTGAAATATTAATTTTTTAAAATATTTTTTAAAAGGTGTGACCAAGGTCCTAACACTTCCTGCTGTGAGTACGTTCACCCTTTTAATTTTTGTTCCTCATCATCCAATCCACATGACTAACTCATATTTCCACTCCTCCAGATTAATGGCTCTCTTCCCCACAATTCCCTCTTTACGTTGACGGTGACGGGACACAGGGGCAGTAGCGTCGTTTTCACCGACACTATCAGCCTGAGATACAACCTGAGGAATGTCTCGACCCTCATCCAAACTGACAGGTTACACTACCGACCCGGAGACACCGTGAGAGCCAGAGTGGTTTCTGTGCAGCTGGACAATCTCCCGTTCAACGGGAAAGTCAAGGTGTCCGTGCAGGTGGGCTGCCGTCCCAGCACAGGCCGGACAGATTGTTTTTGTGGCCATTGTCTCGTCTTGGCGAGGTTTGATGGATTTGTCTTTGTCTCATACAGGATCCCAGTGGGAATATTGTCGACTGGTGGGAGTCCACGGGGAATCTGGGCATTGTTTTGCAGGAATTTTCTTTATCCCAGACAGCTCTTCTTGGACAGTGGACAATCACGACAACAATACATGTACGGTATTGTCCAGATTCAAGTAGTGATGAGAAAAAAAAGATATATTTTTGCCTAAACAAATATTTTTCTAAAATTCAAATTCATGTAATTTCATGTGATGTCAACTCATTTTTTTGTTTAAGAATTAAATCAAAGTTCTCTGTCTGTGAAAACACTGGAAAAACAATCCTTAAAATTCATGAAGATGTTGAAGGAAATCAGAACCAATTTTTCAGGAACTGGTGTTTGTAAAACCTTGACAAAAGAATCTTTTTCCAATCTTTTCGTTCTGTGTATCTCTGCAGGGTGTGACTGACGAGAAAAAATTCACTGTGGATCATGAAGGTGACAAAGATATATTTTTACTTTTGTAACGTTGTCTAAGTAAAGTATAAGTTACGACTAGGATTTCTGCTGACGTCGGCGTGAAGGAAAACCTGTTTGGAAATTTATTTATAACCTGTGAACAAATCCCTAAGTGTTTACTTTTTAATCTCCTATTATGTTTGTACTAAAAAACAGTATGACATACTGTGTCTGTAGCAGGCATGGGCAAACTAAGGCCCGGGGGTCGGATGTGGCCCGTTCAGCTTTTTAATCCGGCCCGGCAAACGTTTCCAAATTATATTTATATTATCATTATACTTCTGCCTTTTCCCTGCAATACCCACGTTTCTCCAATAGATGGCTTAGAAAATGATAAAAGCATTTTAGCATTTCAGGCTTTAAGTATGACTTTTACATGTTATATGTTTTACATTTGCCCACGCCTGGTCTATAGCATTGTTTCCCAAAGACTGGGTCGCGACCCTCAGGTGGGTCGCAAGAGTTTTTTTTTGGGCGGGGGTGTCGTCTCGCATCAGGTTCCCCAGGAGTTTACGAAAAATGTCTATTGACTTTTAAAATATCTGTCCCCCGAAAAAAAAGTTTGGGAAACACTGGTCTATAGTTGGACATTTATACAAATAAAATGTAATTATAATTATTAGTCAACAGTTTTTATATTGAATCATATCATATTGTATCGTATCATATTGAATAATATGGTATAAATTTAAATTATTTTATATTATATTGTATTGTATCGTACTATGTCATATTGTATCATGTAGTATTTGGATAAATATAATACAATACGTACTATATTTATCAAAATGTTTTTGATCTACATCTTAAATGATCTTTAGCGCCAATCAGACCAAGAGAAAGTTGAGATTTCGTTACACGTACCTTAAGAAGGTCGCAAACTTAAACATCCATGTCAATAATTTGTCGTTATTGTTACTCGTCGATTCTTGCAGAGCGTCCTCACTTTGATGTGATAATCAGCACAAAGCCGCAGATTCTTGTTGACGAAGATCTCACAGGATCAGTCAGAGCATTGTGGGTAAAACTGAATACATTTCAATAACAGAACATTTACAACATTGGACATATGTTTAAAAAATATAAAAAAATTTAATTCACTGTTGTTCAGTTACCCTAGCGGTCAGCCTGTAGGGGGAACTCTAACCATCTCAGTCCGTTTGGCCCCAGACAAGGATATGGACCGCGCAGCTTTAGCAAACGAGCTAACACAAAGTAAAGAGGTCAGTGATAATTGTTGTTGGAGTTCATGGGAAAAAATCTTTATCAGCGTTATCCTTATCTGCTTTTTCACTGGGCTTTTGTCAGGACATTGTTTGCAATTTTTTTTTTTTTTTTTTCAGATTTATGGGTCGACTCAGTTTTCCTTCAGCAAAGACCAACTTCAAACCCTTCTCGCTTCTTCAGGAGTCAGTGGTGAAGTCCGAGTGCTGGTCGCAGCCAGTGTTACCAGCAGTTTCGTTGGTGAGACTCAAACCTGGTGAAACAACGTATGAAGTAGTCCCTTCAGACCACGGAGTGATGTCACTGCATCTCCTGTTCCTGTAGGGTCTGATGAGAAAAGAACCGTGGAGGTCCGCCTGTTCCAGAACACATACCAGCTAAGGTTCCACGATTATCCACCGTCAATCAAACCATCTCTAAACTTCTCTACAAAAGTAAGTGAATTTTTACGGCTCCGTTCATCCCAGTACAGTAACACCTCGAGATACGAGCACAATCTGTTCCAGGACCGAGCTCGTAACTCCAGGTGCTCGGATCTCAAATCATTTTTTCCGCATAACATAACAGAAAAAATAATTCATTCCAGCCCTCTAAAAAACTCCCTTATTAGTGCTAATAACAATGGAAAAAACAGTGTTGTTGTTGTTAATCGCTATAGAGACATACATTAGCGGCTAATGGCGGCATGAGGAGGAGTAGGAGGGAAGAGAGTTGGTCCGGACATAGACTTGGTTCCATGGCGTACCTTAAATGTACACCTGTAACATATAATAGAATTAGAATTAACTTAACGAACATATTTTTTAAACTTTTCTTTTTTTAAATTTTTTTTGCTTTTTTCGATTCTTTAGCGAGCACCACGCTCATATTTATCGACAATTCCCTGCTTTATTTCTCTGGTCATCGTGCGTTTCTTCTTCTCACCACCATCCTCAACACTCACTCTCTTAGGACTCATCACTATTATGAAGAATAATGCACAAAACAGAGAGAAAAAAAATCACATAGATAACGCAAACACAATACTGAAGACTCGCGGAAGGCGGCGGGGGCTGCTCCGAGTGCTCGGCCACCTAGCGTCAGCGTCTGTAAGCGTGCTCGTATCTCAAATCCTTACTCGTATCTTGAAGCAAAAATCTACTCGAAGGCTAGCTCGTATCTCGAGGTATTACTGTACTTAGAATTCAGATGTATCACAAACTCAAATAAGCCAATGAGAGCCACAGCTGCCACTGTGCCATTTCATTAGGGCCACATCAGATTTCAGTGTTCAGTTCTCTCCTCCTTCTCACCCCTGCAGATATTTTTTTTTAAATTTGTTTTTATGTAATATAAATACTGTACAATACTACAGCTGGGAGGCAGGTTCGTTTGTTTTTTTTCTTTCTCGTTCTTAAATAACCAACTAAAGCGCATACTTCAAACTCAAGGCCCGTGGGCCAAATATGGCCCGCCTCATCATTTTATGTGGCCCACCAGAGTTCAGTTTAGAATACAGGTGTCTTAAAGTGAAAGTCTACAATAGACAGTTGACACTTGACCACTAGATGGGGTAAATGCAGTGGTCAAATCCCATCCGTATGTGGAAGTTAATAATTAATTCATTGTCATTGCGACTCAGCACACAACCAAATGTGACCTCTGTTTTTAACCCATCACCAAAGTCACTAGGGGGCAGCTTTGAGCACCCTGGTAAATTGGCAGATGGTGGACTCGAACCTGAAACCTTCCAGACCCAAGTCCGCTTCCTTAACCACTGAGCCACCACTAACCGCGTGACGGTTAATTTGAATTCTCTTTTTTCCAATTTTGCTCTATGTTTTTATTTTGAAACTTTATTTTGAATTTTTTGTAATTTTATGGAAGAAAAAGTCGTTGCCGTCCGTTGTTGTCTGTGAAGATTCGTCCAGGTCAAGTAATTTGAATTCTCTTTTTTCCAATTTTACTCTGTTTTTATTTTAAATCTTTGTCTGTGAAGATTCGTCAAGTTATCCGAGTTTAGTTCTAAGCAACTGGATTTTTTTTTCTTTGAGCTCGAAAGACACTAATCTCTGTGGTTGCCGTCTGTCTAAATTTTTTTTTTTTTTGGGTCGTCTCGCATCATCGTTTCACACGAGTTTATGAATAATGTCTATTGACTTGGGTCGCGAAGGTTTGTAACTTTTAAAACACGGGTCCCCAGAAAAAAAAAGTGTGGGAAACACTGACCTACTCTGATGTACTTCACAGCTCATGATCTCCAGGTACAACGGAGAACCTCTCAGCTCGCAGGATCTGACGGAGACGGTTGTGCTCGAAGTAACTCAGCTGAAATCTACGGAGATCGCTGACACGGAAACTCTGACCTTCCCAGTGCCACAGGACGGGGACGTCCACGTTAATATTAAATTACAGGATCTGGTGGAGATACTTTTTATTCGGGTGAGTAATGTTTGACACGCAGCGCCTTCGATGTTGACGCTCCAGGAAAACAGGACGTAACAAAACAACGAGACAAAGAGAGGAAAAAAAATATTCACGTCATCATTTATTCATCTTTACGTTCAGGCGTTATTTAAATCCAGCGAGGAGACTCTGAGGGTCTACAACGACTTTGTGTCGCCCAGTAACTCATACATCCACATCGCCCCGATCGCTTCCCTACCGGCACAGGTAACCTTAAACATATTTGTTGTATGCAAAGAAAAAAAAAATCCTCTTCTGTCTGTAATGAAGATGGGTAAATATTTTTAATTTCCAGGTTGGATCAAGTTTCCATGTCAACGTGGAGAGCTCATTCAAACTGACTTCACTTCACTTTGTGGTAAAGTAGGAAATAAGAATTTTGGGAAATTAGTAGAAGTCGAACCTGCGTCACTTCTGTGGTTTTTTTTTTTTTTTTATCTTTCTGAACTCGATCCTTTTTGTATCAGATTTGATCAGGACCTTGTTTCCAGTTTCAGCGTTTCCTTTTTATGTTTCAATACGTTTCCCGAAATCTGTGTCTTGTGGTAATACAATATTATGGTCCAGCCTCTGTTATTTCTTCACCATTGTATTGATAAGGTCTCGAAGACAAAAACTAGTCACAAGATTTTACAATAAAAACTAGTTTTTTTTACTAACCCTCACCTCAATTTACGGGCTTGTGTAACTAGATCACAAGTTGTTGGTAAACAACCTGTTGACTGTTCACAGCCTGGTGTGTTGACGGACTTAGATCTTACTTTTATTTATTGTAAAATTTCGTCCATTCTTTTATTTTAAAAAAATACTTTTTATATATTTATTTTATTTTTTTGTTTATTTGTATATTTTTATTTATTTTGTTATTTGTTTGTTTTAAAATTAAATTAAGTTAAATTATGCTCTTTGTGTTGCCATTAATGTTTTTATTGCAAAGCCAGGGTTCCCAACCAATGGGCTGGGGACCAGTACTGGGCCGTGAATCATTTGGTCCTGGGCCGCACAGAAATAATAAAAGCTTCGTTTAAATTTAATTTATTTTTTTAAATTTGTTTAATATATAGTCTGCGCATTATTTTAATTTCTTTATTTTTTTGTCACTTCTAGTATATATATATATATATATATGTTAATATATATATACATGCATACGTTGCAGTGTAATAATAACAGGAATGAATGCATTATATAAAATTATAAAATTGTAATTATAAATAAAAATATATATAAATATAAATTATTAAGTTATATATAAGTATATACATCATACATAAATAAATAAATACAATATAAATAAATTATAAGTGCACTTTATCGTGTTTTGTGTTGCACATGATCGCACACACTGTGGACATATTGTCTTTCATAAAACTGATCAAAAAAAATAAACAACTGTTCTCTACCTCTGTACTTCCAGGTGAGCTCCAAAGGTCGGGTACTTGACGCAGGAACGAGGAACTCGCCCTCATTCTCTCTGACGCCAACCCTTTCCTGGTATCCCGAGGCCTGCGTCACCGTCTACCACGTCCTCCCTGATGGAGAGGTCACCAGCGACAAACGTCACGTACCTGTGAAACAACCACACGACGTAATAGGGCCTTTAACCATCTCCCATAGTTCTTTGCTGGTAACGGTCGTCCTTGACTAATTCTCTGGGTTGAGCCTGTGGTTGCGTGTGCTTCGTCCTGCAGATCTCTCTCAGCTGGAGCAGCCCCCAGGCCCAGCCGGGTCAGCAGGTGTCACTCACCGTTTCTGCTCTGGAACCAGGATCCCGACTGGGAATTGTGGTCATAGGGATGCACAATGACAGCGCTCCTGTGGCCGGCCGAGACGCAGCGGACGCACAGGTGTGACCACTTCTAAAATTAGGTTCTCAAACTCCACTGAACTCAGGGGCTACTGTCGTTTTATGTTAAGGTAGTGTTTCTCAAATACTGGGGCGGGGCCCCCCTGGGGTTGGGGGTGTATGCATTGGGGTCCCAGGGGGAGTATGAGGGGCTTTCTATGGGATATGGCACGCTGGACATAAGTGTACCACTGCTGTAATGCTTGAATGATAACAAGCCTCCAGTCACTAGGTGGCAGCACCTCATACAGTGGTTTGTACAGCTAAAAAAAATATACATGTTACCAGGTTCTCAATAGTATTTCAATTTGCGGGGGTGTGGGTCGGTGGGGTAATAATTTCTTCCATAGTGTAGCGGTTAGCACACCTGCCTCAGAGGTGGAGAACAGAGAGTCCTGGGTTCGATTCCCAGAGGAACCACATGTTGACAGCATATCTGCTGCTAACACAAGAGTTCCCCAAATATGGGGTCAATAAAGTTCAAATTATTAATATTATTAATGGAGAACCACTGTGTTAAGGGTTCAGGGCCCGGGAGTGTTCCCTGGGCCAGAGGTTTGGAACCTCTGCCTTAAAGCAAATTATTCGAAACACACAGTAACTAAACAGAATCATTGTGAGGAAATGATATTGCGTTATTCTCACAGTACTGTTCACATCGCTGTTGTCTGTTATGGAACTTTTCCAACTTTTGTCGAAATGCATTCAGACTCTGAAACCAGTTGTTCTGGATGTAACAGATCTGTGTGTTTTGTGGACGAAATGACTGCTTTTTCCTCAGAGCTTGTAACTCTAGTCTGCTCGGTCTGTGGCCCGAGGCCTAAAGGCATCGCTAGGATTGAGAAAACAAAAAAAAAACCTCAGTTTGTCCGATGATGACATTAAAAAAAAACAACACATTCACTAGGTGTGATTGGATCATTTTAAGATGGAACTCTCCTCTGGCAGTTTAAAGTTTTACACTTGTTTAAAGTCACAGTCACCTGGTGTGACTCGACTCGACTTGACTTTCTCATTTTTCCTCTGACTCTCACGCACAGGACTGCTGCGTCTGGCTGCTGACCAACGCCACACGACACAGACAAATGCAGTGTGATGGATCAGAGAGTGGTTAGGTTTTTTATTTTAAATAATTTTAAATGTCATTCTTAAATTAAATATTTGATTTCCACCTCATCACGTCTATTTTTTATGTGTTCAAAGATGGTGTTCAGTTGATGGAGAAATCCTGGAGCCACTGGTTGGACACCACGGCGTCCTTACTGTGGTCTGATAGGACAGTTAGGTGAGAACCACGTTACGTTAAGGTGGTAAAGAACTCATGCAGTCGTCATTAGTTACGGATGAAATTTAAATCTAATAAAAAAATGTTTTTCTCTCAGTGAACACACGTGGACGACGGGTGACGTCAACGTTCCAGATACTGTTGATTCTCTTGGAGCTGTGGCTCTGATAATGTCAGCCAGCCTGGGTTTGTCTTTCACTCCTGTGCCAATAAAGGTAAACAGATGTTCAAAGGACGCCACTGGATTGTTTTGAATGTAACATTTTTATTCTATTTTTTTTTTCAGAAGAACTCTCCTGTTAGGAAAAATATTACTGATTTTTTTTATTATTTTTTTATTCTCACAGCTGCCAGTTCTGAAAGATTTCACCTTGTCTCTCAATGTCCCATCATACCTCATCAGAGGAGAGGAGATCGTGTTGGAGATCAACGTCATCAACCACTTAGAGATGGAGCTTACGGTACGAGAAGCTGAATTTTGGCGATTTCCGTCTGATGTGTGAACTGCATCTGAGCCACGGCACAACCTCATCAAAGGAAAATACAATCATCTAATGATAGATCTGAAGACTGGGCCTGTTTAGTTGAACACAACACTGAGATACCCACAGGGATTGAAGAAAGACACGTACAAAGGTCTTCAACAAATCTCTGAATCGCTCTAGTTTTCAGAACCATCTCCTGCCACCTAGTGGAATAACCTATCAATGTTCGGCCTGTCACTGTGCATTTGCACTAAATAAATAATATTTTTTGGATCAATTAGTTTAACCAAATATTTTTTAAACGGTTCACCTGAAGATCGCTCAATGCACGCGGAACAGTGGTTGGGAATCGCTGCTTTAACTGATCTGACATGTCACACTTTTTTCACTTTCTAAAAACTTAATATTTAAACTCTTTTGCCGAGCATTTATAGGAATTCCTTTTTTTTTTTCTTTTTTTGTCTGCAGGTTATCGTGCTCCTTGCACAGAGTGCGGCCTTTGAGTTTGTTCTGGCAAAGGAAGGCGACGTCTCTGTGACAAATGCTCAGAAACTCACCATAGGAGGTCACACCACCGCCGTGGCCCGCTTCCCTATAAGACCCGTAGCTCTTGGTGAAATGGAAATATCAGTGGACGCCGTATGTGCCGAGAGCTCAGACAGCCTGGTGCAGATTGTGTTCGTGAAGGTACGCGGCGATTTGATTGGATGAAATCTCACCTGAGCATGATGCACGTGGACACAAAGTAATCCTGTGTTAACGGTGGTGTTGTTTTATTTTTTTCTCCTACTTTTGAAGCCCGAGGGAGTTGAACAGACCTTCACACAGACTCTGTTCCTGGAGCTGGCTCTCAAGAAGAACTATTCCGATTCCATCTCCTTCTCCTTCCCACCAGATGTGATTCCGGGCAGCCAGAGGACTTATGTGGCTCTCTCTGGTACGTATAACGTTTATATCTCCTGTTGTGCCAGCGGCGGGTTTATCATGGTGAAATGTATGTTTGTGATACCACGTCTGTTCAGTTACAGATATATAGAACAGCTGCCTTCATTTCTGTGTCTGTTTGGATTAGTGATTGGAGTGCTATAATTGGTCAAACCTGCCATCACACGTCTTAAAAAATAATAATAATAAAAAAAAACATTTGTCCCATTGCGCCCCCCTGCGGTAACTTCACGGCCCCTAGGAGGGCCCCGCCCCCCACTTTGAGAACCACTGCTTTAAATATTGGCGATAAAGGATATTTAAATTTGTATAAAATGTGGAACTGATCCAGAATGGGAAACTGTCAGGAATGTTAACAGTGGCTACATATGCTGAACAGCTGTGGTGTCAAACTGAAGGGTCCTGGGATCCGTCATGGCAGAGAGGCAAGAATTTGTTTTTTCTGAACTACCTTATTGTCTTATCTTCTTTTGAACCACATCTGAGTGGACTCAAACCCAGGACTCTCTGCTTCCAAGGCAGGCGTGCTAACCGCTACACTATGGAACCGACATGTTAATACTTAAGAAAAAATTTATATTATTGTTATAAAAATGGGTCAAATAACCCAGAGAGGGACAGCGAGTGAGACAGCGCCACACAGTGTCGAGTGGCAAAAATGGAGCTAGATGTTTCCTCGTATCTCGAGGCATATCTTGCAAAAGTTGCTTACTCATACTCGGAAATTTTGTATCTCGGGGCCCCACTGTATTCCACCCCGTTATGGCGCCTCCTGTGGCAGCCTGTGTTGGTTCTAAACTCAGTTTTTCAAATATTGCATGTAAACAGTTGATCCGTCAGATGTCCGTCTTGTCAGTGACCAGTGTCCTGTCTGCTCCGCTTCATGCAGGTGATCTCCTGGGCTTGTCCATTGATAATATGGACTCCCTGACCCCGATGCCAGTGGGCTGCGGGGAGCAGAACCTGATCCACTTCACCCCTAGTGTCTATGTTCTCGACTACCTTGAAATGATGGATGTGAATAAAGACGGCATCAGACAAAAGGCCATGGAGCGACTGATGGCGGGTGAGACGTTTCTCCTCAGTTGTTTACTGTTATTTATTTTATTTTTATTTCTCAATTGAATCGTTCCTTTGTTGTTTGCTTTAAGGTTACCAGCGACAGCTGCTCTACCAACGAGACGACGGTTCCTTCAGTGCTTTCAGGGACAGAGACGCTCTGGGAAACACATGGTGAGGTTATACTCGACTTTTACTAAAAAAGTAAACAGTGCCTAGTACTTATCCTTTGATGTTCTGGCTTGTGGAGATTCATTTGAATCGTCTCAAAGGCTTTGACAGATTTTTAGTAAAATATTTTTTTATTAGGGCTGGGCAACGGTTACATTTTTTTTTTTACAGTGCGATTAATCGTATGACTTCTTGCGATTAATCACACTGTCCAAAAATCTATTCAAAAGTAGTGTGTAGTGCACTTTTATTTTAAATGTACTGCCTTATGAATGACACTGACAGCCACTAGAGGGCACTCTAGGCTTGTGTACCAGTATCTGCT